CGGTAAGTCGACGTAAGGAAACGAACCTACGAAGGAAAGACAACAAAGACTAAGAAAAAAAAAAAAAAGAGAGATTCTCCCTCCAATTACCCATCGTATACCATGACACCTGCCCACTCCCAAATCATCCATCTTTCCCCGTTCAGCCCCATGCAGCTGACCAGGCACACGTCTGTCATCACTGTAGCTCTGTGTGAGCTAAGGCCATCGAGGGGGATATTCCTCAGAGCTGCATATTATAGCAGGAGGAGCTCTCAGAAGGGATTCCAAGGAGGATGGAGAGAAAATGGAGACCAGCGCCCCAGGGGGACAAGCAGCCTGGTTATTTGAAAAGTGCAGAGCAGTCTTCTCACTTTTTATTCTTTCCACCAATACCCTACTTATGACACAGTTATTGAGTCACTGGCATTTGAAATCTACACTTTCACGCAAACACCATCTCACTGAACTCTCACCTGTAAGATTTCCCCTGTGGCTTGAGTACCTTGGTCAAACCTTAACTGCTCAAGAGTGGCAGAATGTGTTTCATCTGCCTTTAAGTCTGCACTTCTCAGCACAAACACCACTGAAGAGCCTGTGGGTTCTTCCCAGAGCCACGTCTTCCTTCCCTTGTCATCTGTCTGTCAAGGCCCTTGGGTCACTGCTCTCCTGCTCCCCTCCAAGGCTGGTGGAGTGGGAAGGGGGGAAGTTAACAAAGGATTCAGATAAGAGACAGGCAGAGGAGTAGTCCATAGCAGCCCAGAGAGTAAATGATGCTCTCAGGAAGGCGGAGGATGCTAACCGGGCCTGGTGGAGGCTGAGGCGAAGACCCTTTAGGCAGGAGCACAACCTACTAGGCAGCAGGAGGAGGAATGAGAACACCTGGAGGAAGGCTGGTTTAATACCCGCCCCACGTGCCTCTGTGGTCTGATGGGAGGCCAGTATCAGCTGCCAGCCAGCCCACCGTTAGAGAGAAGAGCAACTGAAACAGGCCAGGAAGGGAAACTGATTCCAGGCTCAGTCCTTCCTTGTTCTTGCCCGCTTCAGTGGAACTCCCTGTCTTGACTCTACCCTCACCAGCTGGGTAAATGTCAACAAGCCACATGACCTCTCTGAGTGGGCTCCAAACTGCAAATTGAGGATGCCAGCATAATTTAGGTGACCAGTGTGTGTTTTTAATAAATCAGAGGATAAATGTGTGCCCTAAGAAGCTCATAAAGTAGAGTGGAGATCAGGAGTGGCAAAGTAAAGGAAAGGGCTTTATAAATAATCAAGTCTGTGTAAATCAAAGGAAGTATTAATCCACTCTCACTGCAAACCTGAGGTTCAGGAAATGGGGGATGAGACCTGGGGTTGAAGGAGAGACGACTGATGGGGGGAAGCAGTGTCTCCAAGAACTAAAGCCTCTCATTTCCCCATTCCCAGTCTGGGACCTCCTGGAAGTGCCCTTCCTAACAGAAATGACGGGAAGTCTGGGACACTGTTGGCTCAGTTTGGCTAGGAAAAGAGCCCCAGGCTTTCCTGTGCCCAGCCTAACCTCCACTGGGGAATGCTTAGCAGGGCAACAGGCCAAGGCCTCCTAGACACACTAGGACCCTGGGAAGAGAAACACCGCTCTCCCAGGC